TATATGCGCACTCAGTATTTTTGACCATTTAATAAATTTTGTTGTAAGTTACATTCGTTTAATGATCACCCGTCAACTTTTTTTTCCCTAAAGCGATCTAAAAAAAAATTATTGCCATTTTAAAAAATATCCCTAGACTTTTCCGATGTGTGTATATTACGAATGTTCTTATTTTAGTTCGGTACTTCTGAAACAATATGCAGCCAAATATTATCCATATATTTTTATCATTTCAGGAACAATACAGTGTTTTTACCATTATATGTCGACTCACAATATAACCAGAATAGATTTGAATATTTGTATGCTCGTTTATAATAGCTGTCGATATTTGGAATTTCTTCCAGAAAGAAGGTTTTAAAACAGTTTTACAAAAATGCAACGAAAGCATCTTCAAGCATGTAGTTTGTAGTTTAATATATAAGAATTCTTTTGGATAAACTCTATCACTATGGTGTGAGGTGTACACCTCTGGATTGGATACGGTCATATCTTTGTGACAGATGGCAGTATGTCTAAATAGAAAAGGAGTCATCTGATGGGTACTTGAAAAACGACTTGGGTGTCCCACAAAGGTCAGTGCTTGGCCCTTTTCTATTCATAATTTACATTAACGTCATTGATAAGCTGTGCCAGCATCCTTCACTATGTACGCAGATGACACCTCACTTATAATTTCCAATACCCGAGAAAGTTCTATAACGGAAAACTGTGGGGAAACTTTATCCGCAATTAATAATTGGTTCTCGGCAAATCGTCTTCTTCTGAATATTGATAAAACAAAATGCCTTAGATGTCATATTCCGCAAAGAACCTGTGAATATATCTCATTTGTTTTTCCTATGATCTCCACTAATGTCACAAGAACGAAATTTCTGATCTTGTTTCCAAACTCCGCACAGTTGCCTTTCAATTTAGGAATATAAAAGAAATTCTGAATCCTGATCAGTTGTTGCAGCTCTATTATGCACAGGTAGAAAGTAGACTATGATATGGCTTGACCTTCTGGGCAACATCAACTTCATCGTCTTGTGTTTTTATAGCACAAAAACGTATTATAATTCCCCGGAGCCGTGCACTAACCTCTTGCCGTTCCTTCGTCGCCGCTTGGTGGCGTAGACGGTCCCTAGCTGATTCATGGCGGCGGCGGCTGGCGCCGGGACGACCACGGGGGCGGGCGCCAACACTCCCGTGGCTTCACCTCCGAATGCAAGGATAGCGCCACCGATCTGCGTCAAGGCACCCGGTGCACATTGGCCACTTAGGAATTCCGTTTTGCCTTCGTAAGTCGCGCAAACCCGGACCACACTCGCGGATATCACGCGTGACGGTTCGCTCCGGACACGAGACAATCGAGCACTGAGGCGGCGATCGGCGCGCCGCTCTGCGTCCCCCTCCAGCGCAGGAGAGGGTCCGCCCCTCGGCGAATGAGTTGCCGTGACGTCACAACATGGCCTCGCTGCCGCGGCGGTGGTGGGGGAGCGGACGCCGATCGCGATAATCCGGATACGCTAAAAAAGTTCGCCTCCAGCGGCGTGCCAAGGTGTTTATATATTTGATCGATATGTCGTTCCTCAGCAATCAAAAACTGAAATAATAATAATGATTTCTTCATTTTCACAAATTAGTTTGCACATCAACAGTGTAATAATACAAATATAATGAGAAAAAAACGTCAATGAAGTCAAGTAAAATAAATAAAAATAAAATACATTCATTTGCCCAAGACACTGACAATAATCAGTGTAGGAGTCGTCCTTTATTACAATAGAAATGTAAAACTAAAAGTATCCACTAAGTGAATACAGACATTTGTCTAACACGAAGTCCTTTAATTTTTTTTTCAAATATTTATATTATTACAGTCACTAACATGTATTGGAAGAGCATTAAATACTCTCAAACATAATCATCTTGGCGCGCAAGACGTTAATTTAATTTTTGCAAATGGTACGACACTGTTTTTAGTTTGTCTTGTATCAGAAGAGTGATATTCACTAACACGGATGAGTTTATTTCTGTTTTTAAAAACATACAGGCACATTTCATAAACATACAACGACACGACAGTTAAAATTTTATATTTTTTAAAATATTCGCGGCAAGATGTCCTTTTTGGGAGACATCTCAGTACTCTGTTTTGCGATTTTAATATTTCTGGAGTAGGAGTAGAATTTCCCCATACACAAATACCATATCGCAGCCTTGAGTCGACCTAAGCAAAGTATAAATTCATCTTTTGACCTACATGTTATGCAGTTCAACTTAGAGACATTTCCTGAGCAATGGAGTTTCCAATCGAGATGCTTATCAACCTCAATGCCTAAAAATTTAACATTATTTTTTTGTTCTATCTGAGCATTTTCAAAATGAACGTTGATTATCTTTTCTGCTTTTTGTTTGTTATGAAAACATATAATGTTGGTTTTGGTTGGATTGAGAAGTAGTAAGTTTTGAGAAAACCAGTTATTCATCCCTATTACTACCCTATTACATTTGTTTCACATGTCAATCTGATATAATTGCAGATGTGTCATCGGCATATTCTGTAATGAGAGCGTCAGGTATTAATGAACCTATTTCGTTCACATACAGAGAGAATAACACAGGACCCAAAATGGAACCCTGTGGAACTACAATATCAACTGATACTTGATGTGATTCTACTGTTTTCATTCTTTCCCCCTCACAAAAATATTCAGACTGACAAACTGTTTTCGATCAGTCAGAAATGATGAGAGCCATCAGTCCAATGCTGTTCCCCTGATACCATATTCCTCTAATTTCTTCAACAACATATCGTGGTTGACGCTGTCAAATGCCCTGCTGAGATCACAAATCCCACAGAACATTCTCCCGCATCAAGAAACGAGACCAACTTTTCATAACCACTTCGGAATCCATAACCACTTCGGAATCCACGCTGATTTGGAGAAATTTTCATATGTTTTCGAAGAAATGAATTGAGACGACTCAGAACAGCATTCAAAAATTTTACCCATGCTAGGGGGAATGGTGAGAGGTCTATAGTTTTTCATAAGTGTTGAATCTTCCTTTTTAAATAACGGAACTACCTTTCCCACCTTAAGACGATGTGGAAAGCAGCCTGACTCAAATGATAAATTTACTAGATGGTTATAGGTTGTAAAATAGAAATTAATACTTTCTTTATAATGAAAGGTGGAATATCATCAAGACCTAATGATTTTTTATTTTTTTATTTATTATTGATAAGCATCAAAAGCTTGTANCGAAACTGTTATTTCCAACTGAAGGACGAATTATTTACACAAGATGAGGGACTGCCAATGGGATCGCCACTTTCACCAGTCATAGCCAACATATATATGGAGTGGTTTGAAACTCTGGCCATTGAAGAAGCACACAAGAAACCTCGAGTTGTATTGTGTGCATATGTGTTTGAAATCAATTGCTTAGAACTGGCCGATACTTAATGAAAATCCATATTGAAATTTATTAATACAATTTATTGTATGATTTTCACTTTGTAGACAAAACAAATGTCGCGGTTTTTGTAAAACCCTTTATAGTGAAAATCATACAATAAACTGTAATAATGATGTTTGAAAATAGGTCAAAGTTTACATTTATAAGAGTATGTGGCTCTGAATCCTGACAGCGATCCTTTTTGGCCGCCGGGACTACGCCCCAGTGTTCCGTCTCACTTCACCAATCCTTTTCCTAACATCTGATAACAAAATAATGGTGTGCATTCAAAATGCGGGGATGTATTTCAATTATAACTTTATAATTTGGGGTTTTATCTCTCGCGATAAGATCTGCCAGACTAATTCATTAATTCAGTCGGTGTCTCCTCGTTACGTCGATCTTATTTCACTGCAATAACGAATTACTTTAATGAAGGTGAGATCGAAGATCCGTCCTTTGCTCGTACCTACTTTATTGAAGCTATTAATTACTGTGGCCCGTTTTGTCTATGGCGAAATGAACATATCTTTTTATTGGAGTCGACAGACGGGGTGAAATGAAATAGAGCATCAGGCAGTGGCGCACAATGGGGGGTTATCCCCGTGTTGTTTCTCATTCTCTTTATTTTCCATCTGACAATAATTACAAAATTGCATTTAATTAGTAAGGACTTCTATTGTCTAATATGAAATAAATTGATTTGAAATACCTGAAAGGATCTGTAAGAAATTGAAAAGATTAGCTGAAAAATAACAATTGTATTAAGCAAAACACTGAAATCACAATAAAATGAAATACAAGCAACAATTAAAAATTGAACTATTAACAAGAAATGAAAATTAAAAATTATTAATGAGAAATGAAAATTGAAAGATTCCCAGCCAAGTTACTTCGCGACGTTTCGATTGTTAGTATCCACAATCATCTTCGGGTGATGACTGGACTCATTCCTCCGAGAGATGACTATTTATAGCGTCTGAAAAATTCTCTATCGATCAGTATGAATATCTAAAGTGAGATCTATCGAAACTCACATTTATTTTTTTCACTAACTGTTTATTGACTAATAATTTTGATAGATCTAGGAACAGACCTATTAAATGAACATATACTTGAAACCACACTACCTTAAATACTCTACTAACTACCGATTTCATTGAGAGAAAACAAGTAAAGCAAAAAAGAATTGTTATTTTTTTTTGAACAAATGTAGTGAGTTTTCCCGTTTATTAACTTCTGAGCCTTTCAGAAGATTGATCCAAATCTTTCTTCCAGAAATCATCATCATATTCAAGATTAATCTCGTGCCCTCTGCCAAAATATACTTTGGTCTTAACATTCGAGTATAGTCTATCCATTCCCAATTGGAACGGCAATAAAAATAAGAGTACAGTCATAAACATTTCTTGCCTGTGTCCCCTAGTCGCCCAGATAGTTAGTAAACATGCTATTAGTTGAGGAGTGAAGGTTCGGCTAGCTGGACCGGCTGAATACTAATTTTTTGTCCGTTTCACAATATTTCTTTATCAGTGCCGTGTGTTCGTGGGGTTAGGTGAGGTAGTGAGTGGTTTTGCAAACCGATTTTTGAAAACTTTTTCTGGAGATCAATTACTCTAACACCAAACTGATATTTTTTGCACTCGACGAGCGTTTCGCTAACAAGGTTAGCATCTTCAGGAGAAGCAAATTGATACTGAATCTGAAGACAAGGGTTAGCTGTTTATATACCTAAAGTTTGTTGGTCCGATGTGGACTTTGTTAAATGATAATTATTCTTATTGATTTTTCGGTAATTAACTAGTGGAACCACTTCCGGCAAATTAATTTGTCAACAATAGATTAAAAAGCGGACAAATTGATTTGTAAGTAGTGGTTCCACTAGTGAATTACCGTAAAATCAATTAGGATAATCATCATTTAACACAAAGTCCACATCGGACTAAAAACTTCAGGTATATAAACAGCTAACACTTGTCTTTCGATTCAGTATCAATTTGCTTCTCCTGAAGATGCTAACCTTGTTAGCGAAACGCGCGTCGAGTACAAAAATATCAGTTTGGTGTTAGGGTAATGGATCTCTGGAAAAAAATTTCAACTTTTACACCAAAGATTATCTCATCGTTTAAACCGATTTTTGTGAAAATCTTAGTGTTTTTGGATACTTTCATCAATATAGCTTTCTGGAGACCTTTTGAAACGAATGATAACATTACGTGTGAGGAATATGTGTCAATCGACAGGGATCCGGAATTTGAAAATAAGGACTTACATTCATACTCAAGCATGTCAAAGTAGTATGTTAATGAATTAACATCAAGATGAGAAAACAATAAATCGCCCCGGCAATCAAAGTACGAAAAATGTTTCAAGGTCAAATTAGCAAGTCTCTCAAACTGCTAACCATAATTTACCACCTCATCGATATAATTTACACAGTGAGTTGCTTGTGCGGCCTTCAGAGGCTCCGAATACCTTCAAAGCAAACTCATGCATATACATATAAGAAGAACTTTCAGTTTAATGAATTTCAGCTGAAATTTATTATGATATTTATGGCTTTCCAGTCAATTGTTTATTGGTCTATGGTTCGAAGCTGGGAGCTGTCAGAGGTGTGCGAGCGGCTGTAGCCGGGCCCCCCTGTGGGGAGCGCCGGCGGGAGGGCCTATTTGTCGAAAGCAGGGCCGGGGGGACGAATGAACGATTTGATGTTTCCTCCACTCTACTTAGATTTCTGTTGAATAACTGGTGTTCGATATTAAATACTATATACAGCTTTACGAGAAGTGATAATACGGGTATTACGGAGACAATTTGCTGGTCATTGATGTATTGATGTAAACTTACTGCACCATATGGACGAGGGGGAGGCCTATACTCAACTTGGGGTGGAACAACACCACTCGCAAGAGGTAAAAGCAATGAAGACCCTCTCTGCGACGTGGGGTCCCACAAGGAACGGTTTTGGGACCGATACTATTCTGTTTATACGTAAACGGATTATTCTCAGCAGGGTCCTGTGTGAAAGTAACTAGTTTCGCAGATGACACAGCTATTGTCTACT